GGTTTATAAGAACATCTTAAAAAAAGTTGTGATTTTTAGGATTTATAGAAATATACATCATCAATCTTAAAGTGTAAAATATATATATATTAAGTAAAATAGAAATACACAATATCAGAAAATAAATAATAATTAAATACACAGTATAAAAATGAAAATATTACATTAAAAATTAAACATCTATCTTAAAATATAAAATAGATATTATGTAATATAAAAGTATAAGAAACAGAAATACACAATATAAGAAAAATTAAATAATAAATAAACATAGAAATGTTAAAATGAAAATACTACATTAAACATTTATATCATACATTTAAATATGTAAATATATAATATACAAAAATAATAATAATAATAATAAGAATAATAATAATAATAATAATAATAATAATAATAATAATAATAATAATAATAATAATAATAATAATAATAATAATAATAATAATATGTAAATACACAACTTAATAAAATAGAAAAATAACACTAAGCATTAAACATCTATCTTAAAATGTAAAATATAGATATTAGGTGAATATATAATATAAAAATAATAATAATAAAGTATATACACAGTTTTTAAAAATGATGTAATACATTAAGCATTAAACATCTATCTTGTAATGTTAAATACAAATATTAAGTAAATATATACTATAGAAAAAATAATAATAACAAATTAATACAATGTTATTTTTTTGGAAAAAGTACATTAACCATTAAACATCTATCTTAAAATTTTAAATATATATATTAAGTAAAATAAAGTACAAGAAATAGCAATATTTAATATAAGAAAAATAAATGATAAGTAAATACATAATTTTAAAATGAAAATAGTACATTAAAAAGTAAATATACATTTAAATATGTAAATAAATATATAAATTAAATATATAATATACCAAAATAATAATAATAAGTAAATAAACAATTTAAAAAGTGAAAATGTAAACTTAGCATTAAACATCTATCTTAAAATAAAAAAATACAGATATTAAGTCAAACAAAGTATAAAATCTGTAAAGACACACTAAAAGGAAAAATAAATAATAAGTAAATACATAATTTAAAAATGTAAATATAATATTTAAAATCTACATTTGTATATGTAAATATATAATATATGATAATTATAATAGTAAATAAATACACAATTTAAAAAATGGGAAAGGTACATTAAACATTAAACAACTATCTTAAAGTGTAAAATATAGATATTAAGTAAATAAAGTATAAAAATGGAAATACAAAGTATAAGAAAAATATAAATAATATGTAAATACATAATTTAAAAATGGAAATATTACATTAAAATTCAACATATATCTTAAAATGTAAAGTAGATATTACGTAATACAAAGTATAAGAAACAGAAATACACAATATAAGGAAAAATAAATAGTAATTAAATATAAAATTTTAAAAATGGAATACTACATTAAATATTTTATTAAAATGTTAAAAATAAAAAATAAGTAATATACAATATAAAAATAGAAGTTCCTTATAGACCTAAAAAAGTTTTTGTCACAAATATAGACATTAAAAATAAAAATGACCAAAATAGACTTAATTGTTTTATCCAAATAAGTGAATATAAATTTATACCCTTTGGGTTAACTAATCTTAGATTTTGTTTCTTTTTTTTAGAGTTGAGAAGAGGGGTTTTAGCCTTTTAGGGATAGGATTTCAAATTTTTAAAAATGGAAAAAACGTAAAAAAATTTAAAATAAAATGCTATTTTGGTCATTTTAGTTTTGAGGTCTATTTTTGTGATAAAAACTTAAAAATGTCTGTTTGATATATTTTCCCATATAAAAATAAAAATACTATATTAAACAAAAAAAATAAAAACATATAATTTTACATCAAACAATTTCCTATAAAGCTCATTATTTCATCGACATCAACCTTACATCTATCAAACAAGACTCCAAAAAACTTCAGGAAAAAAATACAATGGCTTCACCATCAAATTTTGCTGCCCCAAAAACTTTTGATGACCTCGAATGAGATTTTTGTCACAGCGAACTTTTGGTTAAGCTGATTCATTGATGGAATCCCCGCAACTTCCAAAACAGAAACGTACTCATATGAGTTGATATTCTCCTCATAGACTCAAAGGTATTCCCACCAATTAAATCATTCTAATCCACATTTTTTTTGGGTTTCAAATTATTTTTTTTCCCAATTGATTTTAAATATTCAAAATGATATAATCCCAACATTATATAAAAATATATTAAATGTTTTCTACAATATTTTAAACTAAATAACTTCAATTGACTGATAGTAATGTTATGCTTCAAAAATATTTTTTATTCAAATGTTTCAAAAAAACTTTCAAATATAGTTTAAAGAACATAATTGGTGATGAATCTAATTTCATAAATTAGTTTATTATTTAAAAAATTGTTTTTTAAAAGCATAGTGAGTTATAAATATTAGTGATGGAGTTGGTGAAAATAAACATGAAAACGAAAATATAAATATTTAACTTTCAAGTAATAAATTCATCTTTTTAATCAGTTATCAATAGATAATATCTTACATTGTTTTTATATAAAAATTAATCTTCCAAAGTTAAATTATTATATTATATGTATAATGCTGTTAAATAAAAATATTTTTAAAAAATTCCTCAAAATAAAAACAATAAATGGTTATTTACATATAATGATTAAGATGTACATGATACTATCATTTGACATATGACTGAGCAAATGGGGCCCAATCAAGTTTCGCATCGTGTTCATTCTGGTTTTAGGTCTTCGGGTTCATGAAATTCAGTCCCATTCGGATATTATAAAAATCCAGGTCGGATTCGATTCGGGTTTAGTCGGATTTGGTTCGGGTTTAGTAACATGTCCAAGATCCGGTTGAACCCGAAATAATTTCGGTTTTGGATACTAATCGGGTTATCGGTTCTAAAATACTAATTTATACTCAATTAAACTCATTATATTTTCAATCCTTTTATTATATTTGTGTATTTAGTTTCTACAAATCATATTTTTCTCCTTCAAAATTATATTGTGAAACTCGTCTATCAACAATATAAGATTTTCCATTATACTATATGTGAGAAAACTAAGATTTTCGAGCAATGTCTTATGTTACTAAATCGCAGTGAGGAAGAGGACGTGGTTCTATGGAAGGGAAAACAAGATACTTACAAGCCGTCTTTCAATACAAAAGACACGTGGAACAATATTCGACTAAAAAAGGCAGAAGTTTCCTGGCACAATTGCCTCTGGTTCAGCAACGCAACCCCAAAATTTCAGTTCTGTACTTGGCTAGCGCTGCTTGATCGATTAACCACAGGAGCTCACATGGCTCTTTGGAACGTGTCTACTGATGGCAGCTGTGTTCTATGTCAACAACAACTGGAAACACGTGACCACCTTTTCTTCTCCTGCACTTACTCTGCGGAAGTTTGGGGAACTCTGTCACGTAACATGTGGGAAAGCCACTACACAACGACCTGGAACGAGATAGTGCAGTTCCTATCTCAGTCAAAGTGTGATCGAGTTATCCTCTTTCTCATCCGTTACGTCTTCCAGGCTACCATTTATGCAATATGGAGAGAAAGGAATGCAAGAAGGCATGGTGAAAACCCGACACCATCAGAGGTTCTTCTCAGGAACATTGACCGGATGATCAAAAACCGGATAATGTCACTGAACCCTCTACATACCAAGAAACTTGCGATGGCGTATCAAGTTTGGATTGGAGCAGTAAACATTTAGGATCTGGTTTAAATTTATAATTCCCATAAAAGTCATGAAAAAGTGGCAAATGCTGTAAAAAAGTATATTTTTCTTTGAATCAAATTTAACATTTTATTCAAAAAAAAAAAAGAAGAGAAAACTAAACATATCATGATTAATGACAAACCAAAGCCTTGTATGAACGAAAATCATACATAATGTAACATAAAAAAAATTAAAATTAACAACTAACAATTCTATAAACAAAAGAAATACTGTTTAAAGTTTTTTTTTAAACATTATTTAAACTTCAAAATAAATTTATTCGTAACTTAACTTTAAATGTAATGTCAACTATAAACATTAATATTATCCAAATAATACTATATAGTAAACTAAATATTTGAGTTAATTATTCGTATAATAACTAATTATTGTAGGTACTCAATATATATTAATGTGTTTTGGAAACATATTAGAAATTTAGATTGGATATGGTAGAATTTGTTTTGGAATTTTAAAGTTTTGGGATTTGTGGAATATCCATTTAAGTTCGGGTTCGGTTCGGGTAAAATCCATAACCCGAAATACCGTAAAATAAGATCCATTCGGTATTTATGTCGGGTTTGGATCGGTTTGGGTTTCTTTTTATCGGGTAGGGTTCGGTTTGGATTTTCGGATTTAGATTTTTTTGCCGAGTCTTAATTTGACATGTATTAATACGCTTTTATATATCACTATTTTCTATTTTTAGAAAAACAAAAAATGGTTAAGTATCAATATCATTTAGGTTAAGCATACGAATAACATAAATTTAATAATCACAAAAAATACTCACATAAACACTATAATATAATAATTTTAATCTCGATAACATACAATTCAAAATATAATATTTTTTTAACATTTTTTTTTGAACATTGAAAATACAATGTTCGAAAAAAAAATTTATATATGCAATATTTTTGAAAATCAAAGATGTTCATGAAGTTTAATAAGTTTAGATACTCATGTAATGAAGTTGCTATTAAACTGCTCCTGAAACAAATTTACTTTTATAATATTACATTATTTATCAGCCGACTAGCAATTTTCCTGTTTAACACATTATTTTTTCCTTGTTCACAGGTCAAAGATTTAGAAAAGAACTTTCATCTCATCACCACCATCGGATCAAATCAAACGGTCAAAAACACTCACCGAACATTCTGGAAACACGAAGCTCTCATATGCGTATATAAACTCAAACCTAACATCCTCTCTCCCTCTCTCTCTCTCCACACAGCAAACTCAAACCCTTCACCGCCGCCACAAAGCTTGTTCTTCGATCCGAGATAATGGCGGGTAAAGGAGAAGGTCCAGCAATCGGAATCGATCTCGGTACTACCTACTCTTGCGTCGGAGTATGGCAACACGACCGTGTTGAGATCATCGCTAATGACCAGGGAAACAGAACGACGCCGTCTTACGTCGCTTTCACCGACTCCGAGAGGTTGATTGGTGATGCCGCCAAGAACCAAGTCGCCATGAATCCCATCAACACCGTCTTCGGTTTGTCTCTAATCTTGAAATCTCTGTTGGTTTTTGAATCTTGGGGTTTTTTTTTTATAGATAGATCTTAGTAAAGTTCTTACCTTTAGGGTTTATAAGAAATCTTTGAAAAAAAGTTTTGATTTTTAGGGTTTATTAGAACAATTAGTTGAATATTTAAGTTTAGATCTTAGAACTTTGTTTAATTAAACTTTTTGTTTTGTGTCTTTGATTATTATTACAGATGCAAAGAGATTGATTGGTAGAAGGTTCAGTGACGCATCAGTACAAAGCGACATGAAGCTGTGGCCATTCAAGATCATCCCTGGTCCTGCCGACAAGCCCATGATTGTTGTCAGCTACAAAGGAGAGGAGAAGCAGTTTGCAGCCGAGGAGATCTCTTCCATGGTTCTCATCAAGATGCGTGAGATTGCTGAGGCTTACCTTGGTGTCACCATCAAGAACGCTGTCGTCACTGTTCCTGCTTACTTCAACGACTCTCAGCGTCAAGCTACTAAGGATGCTGGAGTCATTGCTGGCTTGAATGTTATGCGTATCATCAACGAGCCTACTGCTGCAGCTATCGCTTATGGTCTTGACAAGAAGGCCACTAGCGTTGGAGAGAAGAATGTTTTGATCTTTGATCTTGGTGGTGGGACTTTTGATGTTTCTCTTTTGACTATTGAAGAGGGTATCTTTGAGGTCAAGGCTACTGCTGGAGACACTCATCTTGGTGGTGAGGACTTTGATAACAGGATGGTTAACCATTTCGTTCAGGAGTTTAAGAGGAAGAGCAAGAAAGATATTAGCGGTAACCCTAGAGCTTTGAGGAGGTTGAGGACGGCTTGTGAGAGAGCTAAGAGGACTCTTTCTTCCACTGCCCAGACCACCATCGAGATTGACTCTCTCTTTGAGGGGATTGATTTCTACTCTGCACTCACCCGTGCTAGGTTTGAGGAGCTCAACATGGATCTTTTCAGGAAGTGTATGGAGCCTGTTGAGAAGTGCCTACGTGATGCTAAGATGGACAAGAGCACTGTCCATGATGTTGTCCTTGTCGGTGGTTCTACACGTATTCCTAAAGTTCAACAGCTTCTCCAAGATTTCTTTAATGGTAAAGAGCTCTGCAAGTCCATAAACCCAGACGAGGCTGTGGCTTATGGTGCAGCTGTTCAGGGTGCTATTCTTAGCGGTGAAGGGAACGAGAAGGTGCAAGACCTTCTTCTTTTGGATGTTACTCCTCTTTCTCTCGGTCTTGAGACTGCCGGTGGAGTCATGACCACCTTGATCCAGAGAAACACAACTATTCCTACCAAGAAGGAGCAGGTCTTCTCAACTTACTCTGACAACCAGCCTGGTGTGTTGATCCAAGTCTACGAAGGTGAGAGAGCTAGGACCAAGGACAACAACCTCCTCGGAAAGTTTGAGCTCTCAGGCATCCCTCCTGCTCCACGTGGTGTACCTCAGATTACAGTCTGTTTTGACATTGATGCCAACGGTATCCTCAATGTCTCTGCCGAGGACAAGACCACCGGCCAGAAGAACAAGATCACGATCACAAACGACAAGGGTCGCTTGTCTAAGGATGAGATTGAGAAGATGGTTCAAGAGGCTGAGAAGTATAAGTCTGAGGATGAGGAGCACAAGAAGAAGGTGGAGGCCAAGAATGCTCTTGAGAATTATGCTTACAACATGAGGAACACGATTCGTGATGACAAGATAGGTGAGAAGCTTGCTGCTGCAGACAAGAAGAAGATTGAAGACTCGGTTGAGGAAGCTATCCAATGGCTCGATGGTAACCAGACTGCTGAAGCAGACGAGTTTGAAGACAAGATGAAAGAGTTGGAGAGTGTTTGCAACCCCATCATTGCCAAGATGTACCAAGGCGGAGCTGGTGGTGAGGCTGGTGGCCCCGATGATGATGAAGCTCCTCCTTCTACCGGAGGTCCTGGCCCCAAGATCGAGGAAGTCGACTAAATTACTTCTGTTCCATGAATCATTTTGGTTTGAGGCCCAGAATTTCAGTTTCGGTGTTATGTTTTGCTCTTGTTATGAGCGATGATGTACTCTCTATTTTCTGTTGAACATTTTTCTTTATTTCAATTGCAGGTTTGAACTTCAGATTAATTGGTATCTTTGTCTCTTTTTATTGTGTGGTTTCAGTTTGCATGTTTGAATTTCAATTGCTATTTTTATTTCTAATTAAGATGCAGGTTTGAACTTCATCTCTTCGCTGCATTTATGTCTTGAGAATATCCACTGGGTTCTAATTGCATTGTTCTGAGAAAATAAACTGGTGACTCTTCGGCTGGTTATTGCGTGATCAGTTTGTGTGTGTGTCAGTTCCTTTCTTTCCAATTATCACATTGAAAATTCAAAACAAATGCATGTTCTGGTTGGATGTTAAGCTAGTAGCTTACCTGTTGATGGATTGAAAACAAACACAGCTTTTTGGAGGCTACAGTAAGTAATAAACACAACTTTTTTGTAGCACGTAAAACTGATTCCACTTCAATACCTTCTCAACTATTGGTTGATGCTGTTACCAATCAACGCAGTAGCGATCCGAATCGTTTTCGTACTTGAGTGTTTTCTTCTACATAGTTTATCCAGATTGTTTATATTTGGAACAGCAACAACAACAACGGTCTACGTCGTTGACCTTTTTTACAGTTGAGATGGTCAAATAAAAGTAAATATGTGTCTTCTCCAGAAAAAAATGGCCTTCAGAAGTATTAACACACATTAGAAGCTCCAAGCACATGCTTCAGCAAGCTTATAGTGAGAACCAGTATGTTAAAACTACAAGAATGAGTAAAATTTTAGAATTAAACATTAGACAGTCTTTGTATGCATAGTCGGCTTAGATAAGGCCTGACAAATGCTTGAGTTGATGGTAACAAAGGAGTGATATTTTGCAAGTCTAAGAGAATAGATGATGTGATGAAACTCTTACAATTGTATATTATCTGGAAAAAAGAAACAAATTCTTTTATTTTGTATCCGATCCATCACTGTTTGTATTATTACAAGGAACAAAGTACAAACAAACTTGAACAGTTTTGTAATAATGTCTTTAAAAACCAGAAAATAGATAAAGACTTCGAAGTTATTCAGAACATAGATCTCCATGAATACCACTTGAGTTTAATCTGAAACCAAAGAGGAGGAACACCAAGAACGCCTCTTTGCATCCTCGGATCAAACACATCGAAATGTGCTTTACTCAACGAATCAAGAAGAACCTGTACCGGTACAGAATGAAGCAGAACCGGTTTAGCTTCTGCAGGGACTTTCCCCGCCAGCTCACGTGCTTTCAAGAGATGTACATTGGCAACAGATGCAATCTCAAACACTACATTACATAGCCCTTCTCTAGAATCATTATCCAAAAGGATCTCTGACCGTCCACCTTGTTTCACAAGCAGCCCGTGCTTCTCAGCGAATTCCACAGGGATGTAATTATGGTGACGGTTTCTGTTACAATGGTAAGGTAACGACTTAAGTAGCAAGACAAGACCACTTGCTTTACCGATGTGTGAAGCTGCGTGATCCGCTGTTGTTGAACTAATCCCACCTGCTTGAAGTGTATTGTACAGAAGAGTAGAAACCGTATCTTCTGCGTACTTCTCAAGCTCCTCAACACTCTCTGGTATATCATCCGCTTCTCTTTGCGCATCTCGGATTCTAGCTTCAACGGAGCGTTTAAGCCACGGTTTGCTGATACTATGCTCTGATATAGCCCAAGAGAGAGCTTGTGCAGCTGGATGGTTTACTGTTTTTTTCGTGTAGAGTTTGTCAATTGCTTCTTGCCACCAGAGTAAACGCATCAAGCCGATTTTGGGATCAGATGCAACATCCATGGCTCTTGCGGTTTCTACGTTGAAAGCGCGGAGCGCAAACGCGGCTTTACGCATCTGAGGGGGGAGCTCGAGGAGACAGAGGTAGTGGTGGTAGTCATAGTTACGCACTTGTTGTACACAGTAAGAGAATGCTGAACGCAAAGTACTTGAGCCTCCTCGTCCGTTCATCAGATTAGCTTAAAGGGTACTTCTTTTCTCTTCTCCTGCAAACCATTCAGACCACAAACAAGAACAGTTGATACAAATCTGACACTGCAACAGTAACCCAGAATCTATATAAGAAAGCTAGAGCTGATTCTCCAACAATCACCAACTTAAATGAAAAGAAGTCTCATTCAGGAATTAACACAAACACCTGGTGGGCAAAGCACAAGCCTTGGTATTTCACAGAAAAGTTGGAACCTTTCAACACAAAATGCCCAATAAACATGGAATTACGAGTGAGACTATGAAATTTAACAGATTATCACTATTTCAAAGATTTAAGAGTTCTCACTAGCTCGAAGATTTTTGAACAGACTAGTTCGTTCAGGAATTAACACAAACACTCTGTGGGCAAAACAGTAGCCTTTGGCATTTAACAGACAAGTTGGAACTTTCCAAGACAAAATGAGCACTACACTATCAGAAGACCAAAGAACAAACATGAAATAACGAGTGAAACATTGAAAATTTACACTTGAAATCGCTAGAAACCATAAATGTTGTTCCGTATAACGAAATGAGTTAAAAACATACCTAAACTTGATGAACTCTGAGATCAGGGTGTCCGAATCGGAAGATCGGTCGGAACGGGATCTACCATCCGAATCCAATATTATCGATGTTTCCACCTGAAAAGGGTAAACGAACTCTGAACAATCGTGCCGGAGAGCTGTCGACTGGCCAATGTAAACAATACGACGTCGTTTCGTTTAAAAACTATATTATGAGATTATTTGTATTATTTGTGATTTAATTTTCTGAAAATTACAATTCTTCTTTTCTTTTTCTAAATATTTAATTTTTATGCTTTTATTATTATTATTTTTGTTCATATATCCATATGGTGTCATATTAAAATTATGTTTTTTTGGCTAATTTAGCATATTTAATTTCTAGAACTGTTTATAATTTATAACATTGTTAGCCAAAAAGAGCTACTATAAACATATCTCTACTGAATAAAATTAATAATTATTATGTTTCTCTTTAAATGTAAATTAGGACTGATTAAAATCAAATTCTAGTTAATCCTAAAATATACCTGATTCAAATCCAAATAAGTAAAACAAACATGTCTTTCAGAAATTTATAACTTCTTCATCATAACACTACAAGAAAACACGTCATTAGGATGGGTTTTCCTCGTTATTTCCTAGTAAATGGCCCTTTACTAGGAAATAACGAGGAAACGTGTTTCCTCGAAAGACGTTCATCGTAAAGCCTATTTTCCTCGTAACGGCCTAGCTACTTTACGAGGAAAGCTTTCCTCGTAAAGCCGTGGAAACGATTTCCTCGTAAGCTCCACGTATACTTTCCTCGTAAGGGCATAGTAAAATATTTCCTTGTAAACTCGTAGTATACCCTTCACGAGGAACTTGCTAGGAAAAATTACGACGAATTTACTTAGAAACTTTTACGAGGATTTAACTTGGAAACAGTTTTTTCCTATTTAAAAAAAATATTTATAAATTAAAGTTATATATATTAAAAAAAATTAAAAAAATAAATAACAAAATATTTATAAATAACTAAATAATATACAACTAATAAGTTTTAAAATTCATAATATACAATTGAAAACTAAAAAAAAACTAAAAAGGATGCTGGTCTTGAAATTGGTACACGAAGTTGTCTCCAATGTTGGATGCCGGCTGTGACTGAGATGGTGGGGGCTGTTGGGATGGAAGGGCTCCGCTTTCCCGTCTCTCACGCAACACTTCCGCCACTTGCGGGTTTCCAACCGCCACAATGTCGAGGATATCTGTGAGCGTACGCACATTAGCCCGTGTTTCCTGCAACTCCGTCCGCATCTGAGCATTGTCATCGGCTTGTTGGTGAACATAAGCCGATGTCACTGCGGGGACATCGTTAACCGAGCCAATCCCGATAACACGGTCCTTTTTCCTCAGAACGACCTGTAAATTAAAATATTAATAACCGAAGCAATAAAATTAAATAAATAATAAAAATTAATATATTAAAATTATTTACCTCCTCGTAAATCTTATCCACTTCAAGAGTGGATAATACGACCGGAGCCCCAGTCTGCTGAGTCAAACTGGGACTGGCGCTCTTCAACTCGGGCAGCAACCTCGTTGTAGATCCGCTCGGAAGCAGGATCTACAAACTGCCCACTCTTCCTTCGGTGGGTCCGCTCGTAAAGGTCTTTCAGAGATGGAAGAACTCCTGTCTCTTTAGCCTTTATTTTTTTTAAATTAAATATATATTAATTTAGAATATTAGAATATTAAAATAAAGTAAAAATTTAATAGTTATAAAAAAAATTATATACCATGTCTAGACGAACTCCCCCGTGAGGCTTTCGGCCCGTGGTGTGAAGTATCTTCGTGTTGCCATGCTCGTCCGTGGCCATGCGGTTCCCGGAGTTTGTGTTGGACGTTCGGATCGAATCCGGCAATGTCCAATAGCTGATGAGGCCATCCCACACCGCGGTTGTGAGGCAATCGGGTTTCCCGCGCTCGTAACCGTTCACCTGATTTGAAATAATTAGAATTAAAGTCAATAAAATATATTTTTAAGTAAAACTATAATTAATATATATTATAATTTTTAAATTTATACCTGAAAGTCGCCCTTCCAGTTGTAGACCATGTCGCANGAGGCAATCGGGTTTCCCGCGCTCGTAACCGTTCACCTGATTTGAAATAATTAGAATTAAAGTCAATAAAATATATTTTTAAGTAAAACTATAATTAATATATATTATAATTTTTAAATTTATACCTGAAAGTCGCCCTTCCAGTTGTAGACCATGTCGCACAATCGTGCTTTTGCCTTGGTCTCGAACTCTGACTTCATCCGCTGGTGAATCCCAATAGACCAACGGTATTTTTGCTGCAACCAGAAAAAATAAAAGACGGATTAGTTCAATAAAATTCATAATTTTAAATGATTAAATATAAATTAAATTGATTTACTAAACTTACAGCGAACGATTTGAACCACGTCTTTTTGGTGTGGCTCGCCGTCAGCTTCCAGTTTGGAGCTGCATCGGGAAAGTATCCCTTGATACAGTCCGTGACGCTAGATCCGACAGCATTGTCAAGACCAAACCTGGAAAAACAGAAAATAAATCATTAATTAGAACATATATATATATATACATACCATATATAACACTTTTTAAAAATTATTTAATAAAAAAATTTAAAATTAAAACATACCATAATACGTTTTGGTCGTCCCGCCGGAGAGGATCTAACTCTGGTAGCCTTTCTCTGCCTGAAAGGGCCAAGATATCCTCCACCGTGTACACCGCAAATGGTGCGTTCGGAGGTACCTGCAAGTCAGGATGAATCCCGACCGGTGGCTGAGGAGGTGGCTGCTGAGGAGGAGGCTGAGGAGGTGGCTGCTGAGACCGGGATACCGTAAAACCTCCCTGGGTCTCGGGAACTCCTGAAGCTGAACCACCGGGAGCTGATGAAGACGACCCGGACCCGAATATATCCGCATAATGAATCCCCTGATCTACAGGCCTCTTGGACTGAGCAGCAGCAACTTTGCTCTTTCTAACCATCTAAATTTTTAAAAAAAACAGAAAACAAAAACAGTTAAACAAACGTAATTTAAAATTCATAATCGAACCACCTAATCTAAATTCCCTAAACTAACCACCTAATCTAAATTCCCTAAACTAACCACCCAATCTAGTCACCTAACTAGGAACTAGAGAGTACCTTAAGAGATAATGGAGAGGAAGTTACTATGACTGAGCAGTCGGATTGCTCGTGTATATATAAGAAATTTTGTTTCCTCGTAAAGCCCTAGTAATATTACTAGGGTTTTACGAGGAAACAGCTATGCCCGTGTTTCCATTTACGAGGAAATAGCTATGCCCGCATATTTTTCCTCGTAAAGTCCTCGTAATGCTTACGAGGAAATAGCTATGCCCGCGTTTTTTTCCTCGTAAAGTCCTCGTAATGCTTACAAGGAAATAGCTGTGCCCGTGTTTTCTATTACTAGGGCTTTACGAGGAAAGGGTTTATAAATCCCTAAACCTAAACCTTAAACCTAATTAAACCCTAAACCTAAACCTTAAACCTAATTAAACCCTAAACCTTAAACCTAATTAAAAAAACTAAAAGAAGTATACAGTCATCGTAACGGTTTTTATCAACCCCACATAGCTTTCCTCGAACTATCTACCCGAAGAAAAGCCCCAAGCTATTTCGTTGAGGAAAAGCTACGAGGAGTTGATAAGAAACTATTATGTTGACTGTGAACTCCTTTCAGTTATGAATTGAGTGTTTTCTATTTGTTTGGTGTGTTTCAAATGAATCACATATGGTGGTATTTATAGAAATTTTTGGATCTGAGAATTTACTAGGAAATTGCTAGGAAAAGTAGGTACAAAACACATGTTTTATTTAAATTCGATATTTCCTATCCATTTCCTCCTAATTTCGTAGTAATAAAATGTTTCCTTCTAATTTCATTGTAATATTTTACTATGCCTTTACGAGGAAAGACTTTACTACGGCTTTACGAGGAAAAGTACTTTTTCCTCGTAAGATCCTCGTAAATTTACTAAGGTCTTACGAGGAAAATAGTTTCTCGTAAGTTTTCGAGGAGCTTACGAGGAAATTTGCTTTCCTCGTAAGATCCTAGTAAATGCTTAGTAATTTTACGAGGAAGAATTTTCCTAGTAAAATTTCCTAGTAAATGTTTAGTTTTCTTGTAGTGTAACTCTTAATGTTATAAAAATGTATATTAAAATGTTCTTGTTTTTGGCTAATCGAGCATATTTAATTTCAAGAGAACTACTATAAGCATATCTATGCTGAATAAATTTATAATCATTCTTTTCTCCTTTTAAATGTAATTTAAGTCTGCCTAAAATCAAATTCTAGTTAACCCTAAAATACACCAGGTTCAATTCCAAATAAGTAGAACAAACATATATCTTTCGAGTTAAATCTTCGAGGTTATATGCATCTCAGCTTAGCTTGGCAGAAGACCAAATTACTCCTAGAATATCCTTTATTCTATTAGTTTAAATTATTATATGTTTTATGTCAACGCATACATACTTCATATTTTTTCTATAAAACAAAAAAAAATACTAATATGTAACACTAACTAATTTTATGATGTCCAAATTTATTAATAATATAACATTTATATACAAGTATGAGCAACTGGACTTCTAATACCAAATAAAAAATAATCTAACAGAAATATTCTTTTACATGGGTGGATACATATAATATAGTTTAAGCTTTGGTTAATTATGTTATAGAAATCTTGTATAAACGATTTTACATCAGACAATTTTATCTTCTTCATGAGAATTCACATCTAGTTACATTATTTTGAACCGTTATAGGAAATCTATGTATGATGGTATACTTTACATCATGTTGAAATCTCATTTACTGTTGTAAAACTATTAATGTAGCTGTTCGAAAATTATTAATGTAATGTTAGTCAAACTTATATGTGTCCGATCCGGATATCGATTCGGTTTCGGTTTGAATTTTTAGTTTTTCGTTATATATTATTAGTTATATTATATAATTTACACATAATTATACTACATATTTTAATTGATCGGTTTATTCAATTTGTTTGGTTTATATATCAAACCATATCTATATACCACGATTTCATAAAAATAACGTCCATTTGATATTACCAAATCCAAACCATTTTATCTTATTTTGGTTTTTTTTTTGTTTAGCTTTACTGGATTAAACATTCTTACTCTAACTCATTGCTTTGGATATATTCTAACTCATTGCTTTGGATATATGTTGGTTCCCATTGACTAAATAGGTATCCGCTTTTTGTTATTTTTTAGTATAACTGCATTTTTGACTAAATAAATAAGTATATGAATAAATATGGGAGGCATTTCCAGGATCAAATAACATAGAAAAGGGTCAGATGATCAAGATATACCACAACTTATTCAAGTAATGCATTGTTTACGGTAAACAATTTAAATGACATTTCAGTTTAATTTAAATTTTGAAATGCCTTGTTTATAATGTGTCATGACAGATATTATTATTTGTTAAGCTTTCATTTATTTGAATATGTCTATGTGTTTTACGGATAACATCTAAATATTGTATATGTGGTATAAACTAACGTATTGAATTTGTGAAATCATTTTCTTGCTAAACAGTTAAACTGATTTTAATTTGGTATATGTACGACTTCTAATTTCATTTATAGATACATGAAGACTCCACAAAAACACAATAATATTGATGTCAAACAAAAAAATATATATTTTGAATAAAATAAACGAAGACCTACTTACTGCATTATCAGCAATTGCCCTATCATTCAATATGTTGATCATTCTACATTACAAATCGTGTCTTCTTTTACTCAACATCACATGCAGTAATAACCTCACCGGCTGTTTTGTTATTCACAACAGCAAAACAAATTATATATTCTTTAGGTAATGAGGGTTAGTGTTTTGATGAGATTTTTTATTTATATATTTTTTTTTCAACCGATGAGATTTTTTATTTATATGTTTTATGCTCTCTGGACATTTAAATTGAATTTAAAAAAAAAATATTTTTAAATGCAAATGTTATAAGTTAAATATATCTTTATCTATAAATTATGCTTTAATCTTACAAATTTTCAAGATTTAATACCAAAAATCCAGTTATTGCTAAATTGTTTATATATTTTTTTTGTCAACAAAATGTTTATATATATAATCCTACTTTTTCATTAAATTTAATTATTTTAGTAACAAACATCATTATTTTTTTATGTTTTTAGCAAATCAAATATCTTGCAAATCGCAAGAAAAGCCAAGTAAAAGAAGGCAACACGTGTGTCCCCAAAACGTTACAAATTTTTAAATTTCAAATAAAAAATCTCAAATCTGTCACATTAGCCCCACTTGGTCACTCTGTTCTCCTTCTTCAGCTCACTTGTCTCTTTGTTTCACCTTAATGAACTCACAACACGAAGGCCAAACTAACTTTTGGTATCAGAAATGAGAGAGATTGAGCACTTGAAGACATCAAGAACCATCCGTTGGAGCTCTGGTGCGGCGAGAAGAACCATGTAAATCTCGTTTCCTTTGGTTTCGTAGTTACAAACATTCTGACCTCAATGCTCCTCGTCATGGCATGGTTATCTTTGAGAAACTGACTGGAACAATTACTAACCCAGATTCCTCTTCTGATCGGATCTATTTGGATGTCGGGTTCGGTGGCGCAGCATCTAAGCTCGGTTATCAATCTCCCAAGGCAAGTACTTTACTTGTCGCATTTTGACTACTTAGTTAAGTGTTAAAACAGTTTGGATTTTATCTGATCTCTCACCGTCTTCAACTATTGAATTAACATTATTATAGCGAAGCAAACCCCAAGAGGGATGTTGCACAGTGGGAGAATCAAACTTCAGCATGGACAACATCCAAGGCAAACCAAATCATGCGAATGTTGACGGCTCTTCCTTCCCTTAGTCTAACCTCAACATGTAGATAACAAAAACACAAAGTAAATATGTCTTACCCAATGAAACGTCATGAAGATTTGTTTAAGCCTTACTCTTGCTTGTTGTCCTTTAGGGCTTGGCATGAGGGACATAGCTCTTTCTTCACACGGAAAGAAAGAGTATGAGGTGTAAGTGTCAATGAATAGAAGCTTGTTGAATCTGGAGGTAAAGATCCGGGTGGTGTTGACTTAAGTTCGTTGTGAAGGTCATTCATCCTTTTGTAAAAGTTCAGATAATGGATCGCATCTCCAAGTATTTGATTTGATGATCAATCTATCTGCAAATTACATCCAAATCCACAAAAATGCTATAATTTTTTTTTAGCTCAAGCCATATGAAAGCAACAAACATGACACAAAATTCTTTTCAATGCTAACGGAGATAAGTAAATGATGAAGACAAAGAAGCCCTCAAGCAGATAATAGAGAAGTAATTACCTCTGTATTTTTTTGTTCTCTGGATCAACATAAGAGTCCATAAGCAGAAAGAGAACACCAGGAATTCTTGAACACTTGCAAAAAACCAAGAGACATCAATCATCATATACTCTCAATCAGATCTGTATTTTTATTTTCTAATGACTAAATTAGAGGGACAGTCACAAGTTTTAAGTATTCACACTTGCTCTACCAACAAAGCTAAGCTCTGAATTACACATATAGCACATGCTTATGGAACTCGTTAGCAACAGATTGGTAGCTAAACAAAGCGTAATGCACGAAAAGATAAAAATGACTTACATTATATATTTCTTCAGTGCCCAGATCTTTCTATTTAAATAGCCAAATTTAATTTTGGATCCTAGCTTTCTGCATGACAACAGCCAGACGAATCAGAAAAAGACATTGATAAGTTAAAACCGTTCAAATCCATTCATGCAGATGTTCTCACACGAACCCATCTTCTTTGATTATTATTAGTGATGATCTTTGTGTAAGAATGAATAAAGAGATGACTCACGAAATTCGAAGAGTCGATGGGGGATAGAATGTTGAACGGTTTGACTTTCATTCAGTGATCGATAAAAAGAGAGTTATAAACGAATTCACAGGAAAAGAGGTGGAAAGAAGCCATAAATGAGATTTTCGCAAGATTTATTAAACGGTTATTGATTAGTGCATGAACCGGAACCGAGGAAGAAACACGAAAGAGGAAGAGACACATTCATCTTTAGCTTAGGATTCTCAGAAACAGGTTTAATGGGCTCAAAAAACAAAAATAGAACGGATCAACAAAAAAAGGAAAAACCCAGCATTACCCAATTATGGATGTGACGTGGAAAAAACGAACATACCTATTGGTTGATTATCCAGGCTGACGTGGACACTTTCAAATGGCTTTATTTAGCCCTTTTAATAATCTCTTAGAGCATGTACATTGAGAGTTTATAAGGGGGTTCACACAGTTTTCTAGATGAACAGTGATGAACTTCTCTCTCCAAAATTTCATTCCAGTGAGCCCCAAGAGGGTGGAGTTCACCATATGTCAGAAGGAGATTAGTTCAATTAATTTTTTTTCTTTTTTTCTAAAAAAAAAAAATCTGACAGAAAGAAAAATAATAATAAACTAATATAAAGATGAACCCCAAGAGGAATTCATTGATGTACATGCTCTTATATATTAATCCTGAAGCATTCATAAATGCACAACTTTAGAGAGCATGCTTACGTGTCAAGCTCACAGAGCTTCTCAGATTTAATTTTTTTAATGTACCAACTTTGCTAGGAATGAAATAATGTAACAGTTAATTTCTTGCATTTAGGACTATAATATATAGACATTTTTTAAGGGACCAACTCTGCTAGGTATAAAACAATATATTTTATTTCCTTAAATAAAAGCTACAGAATTACCTAATATGATTAACATATATATGTAATTAATGATTATGAATAATACATTTTTTTGTATCCTCTTTTTTTTTGTTTAATTTTAAATTATTAAAATAAACTAAACAATCACATTTAAATATAGAATAAAAAATTAAAATTTTTTATAGGTTATATTTTTAATTTTTTTTTAAAATGACCATAAATAACTAAAAATAGTAAAATCCCACATTGAAAATTTTATGATCAATGGTTTAACTTTGTTTTTTTTCCAAAGAAGATACAAATTATCATAAATCGTACGAATATGAAGTATCATTAGTAGATATTCATACTATAAATATGTTAATTTAAAAATTTCAGTGAAAAGGTTTGAGGTTAGTAGATACAAATTATAGTATTTGAAAGATTTTTGTAGTTTGTTTTATTTGCTTCTTTTTTTAATATCTTTTAGTTTGTTTAGATAATTTAACTAATTTTAAATTAAATTTATTAATAGTTTAAATTTTTTTGAATTTTTTTGCGATGATTTCAGATATTGGTTACAATCCAATCCAAACTGAATTGAGAAGATCAAATTGAATCCAATCCGATAATTAGTAAAATTCAAATAAGATTTATGAAAATAGTACCAAAATCTGAAAATACGTATCAATCAAAATAAAACCGACGAAGTCTCAAACGTCCAGACCTATGATGATTTAAGATACCAACATTTGTATTCATCATTTTTTAATCGATAAATACTGTAGTATTGCAAAATGTTAAAAACCATTTAATGAATAAATATTAGTATAAAAATTTCACCCCGCGCATGCGCGCGGGTTATCATATAGTAGTAGATTATTTTTGTCAATATGCTTTTATTATTATAGATTAAATTTTCTAATAAATATTATTTAATATTTGTATTATTGTTTATGTTTGAGATAAACATATGTTATTTATTTTTTAATATTTTATACAAATTTGAGAAATTATATGAAATATTCTAAAGTTTAAAGACATTATTTAATAAATTACATATACTAAGATAGTTTGCTAAATATTGCAAACAATTCTCATTTTTCATTCTTTTAATCTTGTTGGTATTCTATATCAAGTCACTGCTTTAAAATTAAATTTCTGATAAAATTTAATATATAATTGAATATTAGAGCTTTTGTTATTAGTGTTGATGATCAGTGATCACTTCCTCTTTGATACACACAAATATAATACGTTTCTATTCATAAAAGTAAAACAATATCCAATTGAAAAACATGTATAATATTAAAGTTATAACATATATTATTAATTTTCAAAGAATAACTATAGATATATATATACTATTTTGGCACAAAAATATATAATATAATACTATTTCATTCAAATTATAACTAATTATATAAATAGATTATAGGATAATATTAAACTATTAAGGAATTATACAAGAGATAATTAAGTATAGAAGGATAAGTATTATAACTATTTTTTAAAGTATATACTACTTCTTAAAAAAAAAAGTATATACTTATATTAGAAAATTTTACAATTAATAACTAATCTAGAAAATGTAAATATTAAGTTGGATCATAATCTTTTTTACTTTTTAAATCCTTCCAGAATCTTCTCAAAACAAACACAATCTCGGGTACTCTTTTACCCGTATCCAAACAACTCCCTAAACCAAAAACCCCATATAGTCTCCCCTTCTTCAAGAGATCTCTCTCCACAATTACAAACCCTAATCAACTCTCAGATTCAATCCAACCCAACCATGGCCGACGAAGCTAAAGCCAAAGGAAACGCCGCCTTCTCCTCCGGCGACTTCACCTCCGCCGTCACCCACTTCACCGCCGCAATCAACCTCTCCCCAACCAACCACGTCCTCTTCTCCAACCGCTCCGCCGCCCACGCCTCCCTCCACAACTACGCCGAAGCTCTCTCCGACGCCAAGAAAACCGTCGAGCTCAAACCCGACTGGGCCAAGGGCTACAGCCGCCTCGGCGCCGCTCACTTGGGTCTAAACCACTTGGACGAAGCAGTCGAAGCCTACTCCAAGGGCCTCGAGATCGATCCAAACAACGAGGCGTTGAAATCGGGGCTAGCAGACGCGTCGCGGTCACGCGCCGCTCCTCCTCCGAATCCTTTTGGGGATGCTTTCAAGGGGCCTGAGATGTGGGCCAAGCTGACGGCGGATCCGTCGACTAGAGGGTTCTTGAAGCAGCCTGATTATGTTAACATGATGCAGGAGATTCAGAGGAATCCGAGTAGTTTGAATCTTTACTTGAAGGATCAGAGGGTTATGCAGTCTCTTGGGGTTTTGTTGAATGTCCAGTTCAGGACTCAGGCTGGGGATGAAGCTGAGGGGGAGAGGGAGAGGGAGGAGGATGAGATGGTTGTGAATGAGCCTGTGGTTGTTGAGAAGAAGCGAGAGGTTGAGCCTGTTGTTGAGACGGAGGAGGTTGTTGAGGAGAGGGAGAAGAAGGAGAGGAAGGAGAAGGCTTTGAAGGAGAAGGAGATGGGGAATGCTGCGTATAAGAAGAAGGACTTTGATACTGCTATCAAGCATTACTCTGCGGCGATGGAGATTTTTGATGAAGATATCTCTTTTATCACTAATCGTGCTGCTGTTCATCTTGAGATGGGACAGGTATAGTCTTTATGTATTGTTTTTATGTAGATTAGTCTTTAGTGATTTGCTTGGTACGTTATTGAGTCTGGATATGAATGTGTTTGGTTCAGTATGATAAGTACATGAAAGTACTGTTTTATTTATATTATAGTGTTTTGCTTGGTACATGGTTGACTTTTAATGTGATCATGTTTGATTCAGTATGATGAGTGCATCAGTATAGTTTTTAATGTATAAGGTTGAGTCTAAATATGAATGTGTTTGGTTCAGTACGATGAGTGCATCAAGATAAAGTTTTTATGTACATTAATATCTATTATATAACTAATCATGCTGCTATTCATATTGAAATGGGTAAGATATGGTTTTTATACATATTATTAGTGTATAGTGATTTGCCTAGGACGAGGTTTAGTCTAAATGTGATTATGTTTGATTCTATATGATTAGTGCATCAAGGTATAGTTTTTATGTACATACATGTGATTTGCTTGGTACGTTGTTGAGTCTAATGTGGAATGTTTTTGATACAGTATGATGAGTGCATCAAGGATTGTGATAAGGCTGTTGAAAGAGGTAGGGAGCTTAGATCAGATTACAAGATGGTAGCTAAAGCTTTGACTAGGAAAGGAACAGCTTTGGGGAAGATGGCTAAAGTCTCGAAAGACTATGAACCTGTGATTGAGACTTACCAGAAGGCTCTTACGGAGCACCGTAACCCAGACACTTTGAAGAGGCTGAATGAGGCAGAGAGGGCCAAGAAAGAGTTGGAGCAGCAAGAGTATTTTGATCCCGCTATTGGTGATGAGGAGCGTGAGAAAGGTAATTTTGCTTTTGCAGTTATATCTTGTTTATGTGAGGCAAGAATCTCTTAAAGAAAGTTGAACTAACATCCTCGTGTGTTTGTGATACAGGTAATCAGTTTTTCAAGGAGCAGAAGTATCCTGATGCTGTGAGACATTACACTGAAGCGATCAAAAGGAATCCAAAAGACCCGAGAGTAAGCCTGATTCATCATCATCATGTGCTTAAGTGTTGTGTACAAAGGCTTCTCTATTTGATTGTTTCAATTAAACTTGTTTGCTTTTTTGAACTTCACATAGGCATACAGCAACCGAGCTGCCTGTTACACAAAACTTGGGGCAATGCCCGAAGGATTGAAGGATGCAGAGAAGTGCATCGAGCTCGATCCAACATTCTCAAAGGGATACAGCAGAAAAGGTGCAGTCCAATTCTTCATGAAGGAGTATGACAATGCAATGGAAACGTACCAGGAGGGTCTCAAACATGATTCTAACAATCAGGAGCTTCTCGACGGTGTTAGAAGGTATAACATATGTGTAAAAAGTTACAGGGATAATTATTCACCCTCTTATCTTAGTAGCTAACGTGTTGTAAACCTTTTTTGCAGATGTGTGCAACAGATCAACAAGGCAAACCGTGGTGACCTTACTCCCGAGGAGTTAAAAGAAAGACAGGTTAGATTCTAAATTACTGTTATGAAACTTCCTTTTTCCGTTTAGAGAGAACCAGTTAGCTGAGGATTCTGCTCATTCTTCTTACAGGCCAAGGGAATGCAAGACCCGGAGATCCAAAACATTCTCACAGATCCTGTAATGAGACAGGTAAACCTAAGCTTCTCTAGATGTTTTCTCAAGATTTGATGGAGCAATTCATGTTGAAGTCTCACAACTTTTTTGTTTCTTTGAATAGGTTCTGTCTGATCTCCAGGAGAATCCAGCGGCAGCACAGAAACACATGCAGAACCCAATGATCATGAACAAAATCCAAAAGCTTATCAGCTCAGGAATCGTCCAGATGAAATAAACATAAACGCAGCGTTTTTTACATTTTGTAACTCAAACCCAAAATCCATTGTTCCCATTTTTCTGCTATAACTTTTCTCTTATCATATCGATTGTGTTTTCTAAGGCGTGAATCAAGTTTTTCAGAACTAAGTTAATGATACCTTTTATTTTGTCTTAGATGATTGCATCGAACTTGAATCATTCAAAATTTTATCTACCTTCCCGAGCTTACTCTGAGATCCACATAAGAAGAAATTTAAATATGTTTGTTTTCTCTTAATCAAATCAAAACAAAACTATATAAAAATGATTAATCATTATCATGTATTCTTCAGTGTACTTTCTGAACATTAAAACATAATCTGTCTTGTCTTAAGCAGCAACTTCTTGATCTTTGGAGGAAAGCTGGTTCTGAATATGCTGAGGAACAACATCGAACTTAGCCAACTGCATTGTGTAAGAAGCTCTACCTTTTGTCATCCCTCTCAATGTACTCACATACTGAAACATCTCTGCTAATGGAACCAGAGAATCCACAACCTGCAATTTACAAGAACACATTATCAGATTCAAGATTCATCAAACAAGTTTCGTTTTTTCAATCATCCTGTTTCATAATACCTTGAGACCACCGGGTTTGTCACCAAAGCTGTTGATCTGACCTCTTCTAGAGTTAAGATCACCAATAACATCACCAAGATGTTCTTCAGGCGTAACAACCTCAACTCTCATGATAGGTTCAAGCATTCTCGGACCTGCCTTCCTCATCCCTTCACGGAAAGCACCTCTTGCAGCAAGCTGGAAAGCTAGCACGCTCGAGTCCACATCATGGTAAGATCCATCAACTAGACAAGCACGGACATCAACAACCGGAAATCCCGCAAGCACACCGGAACCCATACACTCCTCAAGCCCTTTCATGACACCGGGAATATACTCTCTTGGAACAGCTCCTCCTTTGATCTCACTCTTGAATTCATATCCTGATCCTGCTTCCAAAGGCTCGAACCGGACTGTAATATCAGCAAACTGTCCTTGTCCACCTGATTGCTTCTTGTGTGTGTATTTCACTTCAGCTACTTTGGAGATACTCTCACGGTAGTTCACTTGCGGTGCTCCAACGTTAGCCTCAACCTTGAACTCTCTTTTAAGCCTGTCAACGATGATCTCAAGATGAAGTTCTCCCATTCCTTCAATGACGGTTTGGTTCATCTCTTCATCACGTGAGAAATGGAAAGACGGGTCTTCTTGAGCGAGCTTGATCAATCCTGTAGCCATTTTATCAATGTCTGCTTTCGTTTTTGGCTCAATCGCTACCTTGATGACGGGATCAGGGAAGTCCATACGTTCAAGGACAACAGGGCTTTCCGGATCACTCAAGGTTTCACCAGTGATTGTATCTTTGAGACCAGCAAGAGCCACAATATCTCCTGTTAAAGCCACTTTAACATCTTCCCTGCTGTTTGCGTGCATTTCCAAGAGTCTTCCGATTCTCTCCTTCTTTCCTTTGTTAGCATTCAACACATAAGAACCAGCTGTGAGTTTCCCTGAGTAGACTCTCACAAATGTAAGAGAACCAACAAAAGGATCACTCATGATCTTGAATGCTAACCCGGCAAACGGCTCCTCATCGTCTGGTTTCCGCACAATGGTAATTTCCGGGTTCTCAGGATCTGTTCCATTCATCGGAGGAACTTCAACTGGAGAAGGCAGATAATCAACCACGGCATCAAGCAATGGCTGCACACCTTTGTTCTTAAAGGCTGAACCACACAGAATAGGCACAAACTTCCCTGTGATGGTTCCTTTCCTAACCAATCTCTTCACCGTCGCCTCGTCAGGCTCAACTCCTTCCAAATAGTTCTCCATGACCTCATCATCCAAATCAACAATCAGCTCCATCATAGCCGCTCTATACTCTTGAGCCAACTCTTCAAGATCCTCTGGGATATCCTCGTAGTTGAACTTGGCACCAAGCTCTTCTCCTGACCAAACTATAGCTTTCATCCTCACAAGATCAACCACACCTTTAAACACATCTTCAGCACCAATCGGTATCTGAAGCACCAACGGCTTAGCACCAAGATTCGTCACAATCATGTCCCTAGTCCTGAAAAAGTTAGCTCCAAGACGGTCCATCTTATTAACAAAGCAAATCCTAGGCACACCGTATTTATCAGCTTGTCTCCACACAGTCTCGGACTGAGGCTCAACACCAGCAACACTATCAAACAAACATATAGCTCCATCGAGAACTCTCAGAGCACGTTCGACTTCAAGAGTGAAATCCACGTGTCCAGGAGTATCGATGATGTTGATCCTGTGCTTGTCCCAAAACGTAGTGGTTGCAGCTGAAGTAATGGTGATTCCTCTCTCTTGCTCTTGCTCCATCCAGTCCATTGTAGCTGTTCCTTCATGGACTTCGCCGATCTTATAGTTTCTTCCAGTGTAGTAAAGAATCCTCTCCGTTGTTGTGGTCTTTCCAGCGTCTATGTGAGCCATAATGCCAATGTTTCTGTAATCTTTAAGCGGCACAGCGCGCTTCCCCTCTCCTAAGTAACAATAGAAACATAATAAAGCATTAAACTAAAGCATCAGAGCTTAAATAGTAAAAACACTTCTCACAGGCATTTTAACGAACACTTAGAAGGCATGCATGCAATTTCAATCTCTTTACGAAGAAAATGGAAATGGGTAAGCAAAAGATTAAAGCTTTCTGAGAGAGAGCATAGAGAATAGACCTTCAGCGACGGCGAAGACGGAGAATTGTTTCCTTCGGTGTGATAGCTTTGAAGCTTTACCGAGAAGACGAGGAAAAGAAGAGGAAAGTGAAGCTCGAGGAGGAAGACCCAGAAAGGTAGAACGATGGTGAGAGAGAGGGATAAGAGCAGGTCGTCTCTGTGACCCATTGAGATTACAAACTAACGAACTAGAACTCGAGATTCTCAGAGCATCCGCCGCCATTTTTTTATCGCTTTGGGACCTCTTCGAAATCAGGTCTTCTCTTCTCTGCCTTCTTCTTACTCTCTGCTCTCTTGCTAACGATTTGGTTACTCACTCTTTAGATAACGTATTTGCTCGTGTGGCTTGGGGATAACGAAGCCTTTTGGGCTATGCGTGGTTCATTTCGGGACCGTTAGATAAAATTATTATTTTTTGTTTTTATCGTCGCTTTTTGGAGAAAAGAATTATATGGTTCTGAATATTATGAAGGGTTTTATTGGCTGAAATGGATAAGGAGATACGTCACCGTCTGAAACTGTATTTTGAGCAATGACAATTTATTTCTAAAAGTTTTTTTTATATTAAAACTTTTGAGTTTTTGTTTTAAGAACATATAAAAAGCAATAAAATAAGTTAAAATACATAAGCCAAGAACCTTAATAAACAAGAACTGATATAATTTTTTAAATCATATACAAAATAATTCACTAGAACCAATTGTCAGAACTATCTAAACGGATATATCAATCAACTAAAATCATGTACGACGGAGAATCAAAATACTAAGAAGAAAAACGAAGAACTCTGCTGAACCAGTTGATCTTGGTTATCAGGGTTGTAACCCATAAATTTGTGAATTATATACTTGGATAATGATTGAATCGCGCACGAGGTCACTTTCTTTAAAGAGTATTTCGACCCTATTCCAAGCCTTTGGGTTATACGAAATCTCTTTATAGGATAAGACAATCAAAGTCACATTCTTATTCTAGGTTAAGATATAAGAATAACAAATAGAGTTTTAATGCTTATATGTGTTTCTTCAAAGATCTTTGATGATCTTTGAACAATAAATCAATTTATCTCTTACTCTCTTACTAACTATTAGTTTCTGATTTTTTCTATTTTATCATTTGCCAATGCCTACATCTCTTTATATAGAGAGTGAAAGGTTGCAACCAATGGTTGCAATGGTTAATCCAAAAGATGCAATGGTTAGTACTAATAGTTGCAATGGTTAATGAAGAGTTGCAATTGTTAATACTGATATGTAGTGTTTTTAATAGTTTTTAACATCTTTTTCTTAATCATATTAGTATTTTTAGTTGCATATAGGTGTTTAGATTGCATATACTTGTTCATTTGTATGCATTAGGGGGCTGGATGCACGTTCTTAAAGTTTGAGGCTGAATTCAAGGATAATATGCAGCATTATAGAAGTTTTGGGTCAATCATGATGTTAAGAAGAGGCCAGGGATCAAGGTCGCAATTTGAGAAAGTTCTCTTGGGTTTAATTGCACAATCAGAAAAATCCATGGGTTGATTTAGAGGATGGTCCTGCAAAGTCAAAGGTTCTGGGGCCTAAGTGAAAACAAGCAGAAGTCAAGGACTTTTGTGCAAAAAGGAGAAAATCAGCCATTGGAGCTGTTCATCCGTCTTCTCTCCGATCTGTTGACGACGAAGACTTCGGCGAGGATGAGCAACGTGAGCCAACGACGAGGGCTGGACCTTGACGGAGATGCTCGTGGATACGGAGGAGAGCTTCGGCTTGGTGGTGATGCGGCTCGGAGGAGACGGTGGCGCAGTCATAGATTGGTCACACCATTACCGGAGACAACCGACAAGCTCGGCCACGATCTGAGAACTTGAATTCGATGATGAAGAGATGGTCGGGATTGCTTGACCTTGAGATTCAGAAGCTTCTGAGATGGTTGTGGGCGAAACACAAACTCAGCCACCACCACGAGCCAAGACTGAGACAGGGAAGAAGAATCAGAGCTCCGGGTTGGTGACCACGAACCATCGATCTCTGCATCTCCAAAGTTGATTCACAGCGGTTTGATGTAGCGGGAGAGAGACACCGCTGGGAAACGTGCGAGCTTTGGAGCGGCATACCACAGCGGGATAGCGAAGCCGCTGTGGAGAAGACAAAAACCAATCTCAAAACATTGACCGGTTTAAACCGGTTTGACCCGGTTTAATTCAATTGAACCAAGACGAATTTGGATCTCCCTATATATAATTTTAGTCTCCAAAAACCCTAAAGTATCTCATTTTCTCTCTAGAACTTGTTTC